AGGTTTACCAATCTGATGCTATCTTTCCTAACAAAGGGACTGCATCACTCAGTCCTCAAAGGTAAAGAGGAATATATTACAAATCCAGGCAGCTTGAGAGCAACTCTAATTTTCATCAAACTTCCCTTCTCAAATTACAACTACTAAACAAAACTCATTAAAAATCCCAAAAGTATCTGCTACATACACACAAAAGAATCTCAAATAACCCAGAAAGATCAGAATTAAGAGTAGAATTACTTACTTATTATTTGCATAAAGTAAACATTCCTTATATCCAACACTATTTCATTACCAGCAGGGAATGTATTTCTAGGCATGTACCCATTTTAACAAAACTGGATGTTCAAAGAAATAGATAATGAAAATGTACCTACATTTAATTAACATATGAAAAAATCTGTTTTTAATCAGTCTTTGTCTAAACAAACTGTAAGACTGTTTCTTATGACTTTTCACTCTAGACAAAGTAAGAAATCTGAAGTTTGAATACATTGTGTGTGTAGTAATTAAAAGACAATGATTTCACATATTTATTGTATCTATCATTTTCTGAATAAAATCCACATAATCTACCACCAATGAGAGACGTGTTCAATCATTTATGAAGAAGCAAATGTTTACATATCCTACCTAACCATACATTCACAGTTTAGGAAATTTTAGAAACAAAGTAACTACTGTATCATAAATGAGAACAAAAATTGTTTAAGAATATACTTCAAAGGGAGCTCAGGTTAGAATCCACCAGATACTCTGGTGGAGAAGGAGGGACAGTCTCCTCATGTATCAGTTGGATCTGACTCGACAGCACACAACAATAACAACAACAAAGAAATCAAACATTTAAAAAAAAAAAAGAATATACTTCAAAGTGTAAGCAAAAAAACCCATCAAATCCTGATCTTGGGGTTTTTTCATGAAACAATTACACCAGAGGTCCAAAGTTCAACTTTCTTCACTATTGGAATAAAAAACCAAACCACCAACTCAAACTCACTGATTTCCAGAGCCTGTAAGTGGAGGAGCCAGCCCATCAGTCTCTCTTGAAGCTACAGGTGGAATCAAATCCCCAGAGAAGAGCTATCTTCAGGCTAGCAGAGCAGCTCTCTACAGACTTTGCCATGAGAACTCACTGAAAAAAAAAATCCAATTGAAGAGACATTTCTCCTCTAAACTCAACAATTCAATTCAAACTGAGTTCCAACTCATAAAGACCCTTCTAAGGCTGTACACTGCACACAAGGAGATTGTCCGTTTTACTCCTCTGGACCACTGGTGGATTCAAACCAGAGATGCTCAGCCTTTGAGTTAGCAGGGCAATTTACTATGGACTATGATTGAAGAAGGATCGAGGCCTTCGACTAGTGGTGCTGAGAAGAGGAATACCGTGGGCTGCCAGGAGAACAAGCTAGTCCCTGGAGAGGGTGAAACCAAGCGGCTCCCTGGAGGCAAGGATTTTGAAGTTCCATCTCACATACTTTGGGCACATAGCAAGGAAGGACCAGTCTTTGGAGGGGGACATTATGCTTGGAAGGGTAGAGGGACAGCTCAGGAGAGGAAGACCGAGGATGAGATGGACTGACTCAGTGATTAGAAAAATGGATTTTGGTCTGTTGGATATGATGATAGTGACTCGGGATAGGACAGGGTTCAGAGCTAATACACACAGGTTCGCTAGAGTCGCAGATGATTCGATGGCCCATAACAACAACAAAAACATGCCACCAGAACTCCTTTTTCTCTATATAGAAAAAGAAATAGAAGGTGATTAAGAAAGAGCTAATTAGCTACACAAAGCGAAAGGCTGTTGCTGTCATCTAACAACCAGCTGGAACCAACTCATAACTCATAGCTCGTAGCTGAGCCTCCAACTGGTTTTTAGAAGCTGAAAACACACAGAAGAATACTGTCCATCTTTTTCATATGGAACAGTTGGTGGATTCAAACCACGTGCCTTGGGTTGGCAGCACAACTCCTTATCACTAAGCCACCATTTGCTCCCAAGAGGTAGGTAGAACTAATGATTTTTCAAGAAGCAGGAAAAGTATTTACTGTTAAGCACTACACTAAGACTAAACTAGTAATTGCATAACTCCCTCAAAAAAATCCCCAGATTAGGAAACTTATTTTAAAGAGTTACTTTAAATTTTCTAGTAGGGATTACAGCAAAAAGTAGAGGGGAGGCAGGGAGAAGAAATACAACTCTAAATCAAACCTAAAACCAGTCACTGCCAGAAAGACTTTTTTTCAGTCATTCAACAGTCCTAGCTTTTTAGTTGGGTTCCTTCTTCTTCTGTTTACATCTACTAAGATGGAAAGAGAGAATCAGTGCAGCAGCAGCACCCATATGCTACACACAGTCCAGCCTGCCCTTTCACCACAGACTCTGTCAGAAGACAATATGAGATTATATCCAAATAATGTCACATCTCACAGAAATGGTTAAATTATACTTTCTCACTGCACTATTTTCTAAATGACATGTTAGGACTATAGTTTAATACAGAGTTTACTAGTCATGACAAGAGGACCCTTTACAGTATCTTATCAAATGTAAAAGTCCACTTGTCTCACAGATTTTAGAGAAAAGACAAAAACAATGTACAGGGCAAGTTCCTTTTTAAATTCCTTTAATCTATATTTTCAAAATTAATCACGTTAGTGTAGATTTTCTGTCATTCCTAGAGAAAATAATTGTTTTGTTATGCTCTTTTACTTAGAAAGTTCTAGCCAAAAACTTACAAAATTCTTAATTTCTAGTATTTAAAGTCTTGTGCATAACCTGCAAACACCTTGCTGTCTTATAACAAATGTTACTTCTAAGCAAAATCATTTAAGAAAGTCATTTAAAATAATGCATAACATGAGACTATTAAGAATAACTTTTTTCAGAAAGTGATTAAAGTTACAATTTGCTTAGAGACAAGAATATCTATTTCAGATAACACCTATATAATTGTACCTTTTCAAAATTATTAGAGTGGAGTGTACCTTTTTTAAAAAGTGTACTATTTAGAACTTATATTATTAATATTTATAAATGTACTGCATCCCAACTACATTCTAAGCATATTAATTCCATATAATTAATGTTACTGAACATACTTTAAACCTGAAATCATTTCCTTGAATTTGATGTAAAGATTGAGAAAATTCATTGAATGCAGATCAGGCTAATGTTAAAGATACCCAAATATTTTCAAATACATTAGCTTCCTCCTCAATCTATAAATTTAAAATTCATCTTTGAAAATAACAGCTATAACATCATCGATGGAGCTCTGGTGGCCTAGTGGCAAGATGCGGCACTGCAACCCCTAAGGCATGCAGTTAGAATCCACCAGCTGCTCCATGGGAGAAAGATTACTCCTCCAGTATAATTGCTTCTGAAAACCTCTCAGAGGGTCAGCCAATGGCACACAACAAAAACAACAACATGCTTCAACTAATCAAAACAAAAGCAATGATCCAGATGTTCTCATTATTCCTTAACTGGTGGGATTTGAACTTAATGGTACCTAGACTACACTAAACCGTATATAAGATATTTTGCATATTACAGGGAGTGCCTTTCTGGCTGAATTATTGCTTGAAGTCTTTTCACAAGGCTTATAGCAAAGTCTCCAAGTTTAAGTTAAGGAAGAATATTAGAAGTCATAAAATCAAACATTAGATAAAATGGAATTTAAAATCTGCCAAAACTTAGTAACTTTATAACATTTTTTTAAATAAGCTTAAAATATGATGGAATAGAAAATCTTAATTTGAGAGTGTAGAACCATGTGACATGTGTGTTCACATATATCCACAACACACATACGCCTAATACACTTCTATGCATATTGACCACAAACTATCAGTTCTGATTAAGCACAAGGACTATTAGATAGTTCCAAAGACTTATTGAGGGAATTAAGTAAGAAAGATAACATTACATTTTCCTCCAGGTTTTTCTAGCATTTTAAGGTGAAAGGACAGACTGATTTCTAGGACAAGTTAAGTGCAAATTGAGCAGTTCCTTATATTTTGATGCATGGTATGTTAAGAACAACACATTCAGCAAAAATAATATGGTTTTTAATAACACTGCAATCATAATTCTCTCTCTTGTACACATCTCCCAACAAAAAAAAAACATATTCTACAAATGCTGAAAGAACCGACAATGTTGTAAATAAAAAAAATACATGAGGGCTATTACACACTAATAGCTTTCACTGTATGCAGCTCTGATCAATGCTCTGAAACCGGCAAGTGTTCCATAAACGCAATGTGCTTTGCAGCAGATTTTACTAGCATAAAAGACACTAGGGAAACGGGGGTTCTTTTCCCCCACCTCTCCAACACAATTCTGCAAAATCAAGATATTTACAAACGCTTTTACTCAGCTGGGCACCTAGGTCTTCTTCAAAACCCTGATTCTATTCAACAGCGCCAAGCAAGAACACATCACTCTGCCACACACCACAGATCCGAATCCACTCAGTCACCTGCACCACCTGGTCTGATAGTTAGGCTGTCAGTTCTGAGATGTTGCTAGGGTGCAAGAAAACACTGAAGCAGCTAAGCCTTCAGGTACTCTGGGTGGTTAACCTTGGGATCAAGCACTTCAATAAGAATCTTTCCCTATTAGACAATGCCTAAGACTGCTGTAAAAATGGTAAGGATTTTTTTTCCACAAAGGAAAGCAGCCAAGGGCTTGCTTTTCCTACTCAGAAACTCTGTCTGTGGAGGGAGGTAAGAGCTACAAATTTTGCAAATCTAGTTTCTGATCGCAATTCTGGTGACAGTTTACAGAGCAGGGCTGCCAAATCAGAGCTCAGTATTCCTATCCGCAAAATGGGAATCACTGCCGCCACCACGTCCCCTGGCAAAGGAGTCAGACACACCCTAGATAGAGGTCTAGGATTACCCGGGACGACAAGGCGGCTAGGAGGCGCCGCCGCTCCCAGGACGCCCCCCCCCCCCTCGGAGACCGAAAGGCAGGGCCGGAGTACCTGGCTTCACAGTCTTGAGACGGATGGGCTCTCGGAAGTGGCGGATGACAGCCAGGGTATCCCGGTTGGTGAGCCCGCTGACAGGCGTCCCGTTCACCTCCAGCAGCACATCCCCGGGGCTGGGCGCCTTGCCGGAGACGACGCAGCAGGTGCCCCCGCCCGGCTCCTCGCGGAGCCGCCCCAGGTAGGGGAACTCGCCGCGCTCCGCGCCGCCCCGGATCTCGGCGCCCAAGTCGCCTGGGGGCCCGGCCCAGGACACAGCGCACTCCTGCACCTTGCTGAGCCAGTGCTTCTTCTTCTTCAGCGTCTTCGACATCCCGAACCCCGCTGCACCATGGGGGAGACCCCGTGCGGGCGGCCGGGGCGCCGCTCCGGCCCCTTGTCAGCCTGGGAGCACCGGGCCGGCCCCGCAGCCCGGCGAGGGGGGCCTCGCCGCCCGGCCCCCCCGACCACAGCCCGCTAGGGGCCCGGCCCCTCCAAGCCCCAAGACGTCCCTCGGACGCCCCTCCCGGTGGCGCTCTGCCGAGCTGACCGGGCTCCGCGAGGGCCACCCGGGACTAGAGTGAAGAAAGGGAATTGTCCCCGGGAGGTTCCAGAAGGGTTTTCGGGCGGGGTCACTGCCGACGGCTGGCCCCGGGGCTCCGCGCCCGGGCGGCGGGAAAGGCTGAGACAGAGGGGCGGGGAGATAAAGGGGGAAGAGCCGGAACGTGAAAAATCCGTCGGGGACGCGCAGAAGCGCGCGTAGACCCGTCGCTGGATCGATCGCGGCCGCTGCGGAGCTGGAGCGCCGAGACCAACGCCTGCCCGTGCTGCCAGGAAACTGCCGCTTTCAAACCCGCCGCAACCTCCTCCTCCTCCCTCTTCCCTTCCCCCCGCCCTCGCCCATCCCTCATCCAGAACCCCGCCCCCTCCCGCCGCGCGGCGCCTGGCGCGCTGCCGTCACAGGCCGAGCGCTTGGGAAAGCGCCCCAGCACTCGCCTTTCACGCCAAGGATTGGCCTCCAGCAGACAGAGGGCGGACTCTCACCGAGAATTTAGACCACTGATTGGTCGGTACGAGTGGGAAGGCGGGCACTAGGATGACTGAAGTTTAGAGACGGTGGAAAAAGAAGTTTGGAGAGTAAGGATGGACAGAGAGGAGGGGCACGGGAGTAGAGTGGACTTCAGGTCGAAGGGCTGGGAGAGGCCCGCCACATGAGGGCTAGAGCCAAAAGCAAACTCGTTACGTGAAGAGCTACAAAACTCCCCGAGGTAGGAGCGTGGCTGGCTCAGGCTCAACTTGAAGGCGGAGTCTCGTAACCTGTGCGGGGCACTGAGAGGAGCCAAGTGTATTGTGTGTGGTAGGAAAGCGACAGGCGGAGTCCTGCTCTGAGTGGTAGCACTTCTAGGGTGCTTACTTGCGTGATTCTTCACTCATTCATTCATTCATTCATTCAACAAATGCCATTTGTTTGGCACTGAGGCTGAACTCCAGAGTCTGGTTGATGAAAGGTGATTTAAGAGCACTTACTTGCTGTGTGACCTCGGACAACCTCTTTGAACCCGCAGGATTTGTGATTTTTTTTTTTTTTTTTTATGAACGGAAGAAAGATGGGTAGTCTCCATTTGTGAGATTAAACTACCTCTGAAAACTCGCTAGACATCAGCTATGAGTCGGTCCTGACTCGAAGGTACACAACCACCCCTCCAAAGTTTAAATGGGATACATATAAAATATTTGCATGGTGACTGGCACAAATTGCATGCTTCTTCGCTGATTAATTACCTTTGGTAGCTGACTAAGGAGGAGGATGACTTTGTATCAAATAAAAATTGTACTAGATACTGAGGTACAAGATATCCAAAACAGAAATCCTAGTTTTAAGGAGATAACACTTGAATGTGAAATACTGATAAAGTATACTGCCTAAAGTGAGGTAGAGGTGAGGGTGGATCACAAACTAGTCTGATAGCCAGCATACCTGGGTTGGAGCCATATCCCAGCTTCAAGTTTATACATCTGTGAAAAGAGGTAGACAGAGCCAACATTGAATGAACAGGTATGTTAGGTCTCTTTCAGGAATAATCAGTCACAAACTGCCCTTGAGCTTTTTCCTTCAACCAATGGCTCTGTGGGAGAAAGGTCCGCTTCCATGCCCCAGGATAGGAAAACTGGACTTGTTTCTGACTCAAGGGCATGAGAAAGTTTTTTTATTTGACTGGAGGGAATTCTGGTGTTCTTGTGGGTAAGGAAGTACTCTGCCAGCCTAAAGGCACATGGTTCCCGCATAGTTCTAATCCACCTCCAGCTCTGTGAGAAAGATGGTCAGCCTCCTGATTTATGTTGTTGTTGTTGTTATATGCCATCCAGTCGTTTGCAACTCATAGCGACCCTATGCACAACAGCCCTAAACCCTGCTCTATCCTGCGCCAACCACACTGCCTCTGACACACCCATCCCGAT